TTCCTGCTGTTGCTGTGAGTCAGAACTTAATGCTGAGAGTAGCATGCTCTTCCATCATGTGCCTTGCACAATGGATAATAAAATTCTCCAATTTTGGATGGTGAAGAGTATGAAAACGTATGTTCCATTAGAGTACTTCTACATAGCCCTACTAGTATTCTGTCTGAGTTTAATGTGAAAAATAAATCACATTTTGTGGGCTTTGTTTGCTGAGTGATTTTATTCTTTGTAAGTAATGAGAAATTTTTCCCATCCTGGATTCCAGTGTTAAATCCATTTTGTGCAAACAAAATTTTCCATTTATTCATTGGCAGTGGAGAGACCAGATAACATTGAATTTATTTTTTTTTCAGTTTTGTTTCTTCTAAAGTGGTGTTACAGAATTGAACCTTGGATATTGTTTTAGCCAACACCAAGAGATGTCCTGGATTTCCTTGAGGATTCTGATAAAAAGAGACCCTTGATTTTTGGACAAGGATAAAGACAGGCTTCTCTTGGCATCAACTCTCTATTCAAATGGCTTAATCAACAGAGCTCTTCCTTAATGGATGGTTCTGCATTGATGAGGCCTTTAACATGTTAGGAAAAAATCAAAGAAATTTACTCCTTTCCTGATTTGATTGATTTTCTTAATCTGTTTTTGAGTGAGGGCAGGTGTGGGAGACAACGGAAACTATTTGATTATTGCCAAAGAGAAGTAACTGCTTGGCTAGGGAAGAAAGAGTTAAAGAAGAAACAAAGTACAATCAAGCAGAGTAACCCAGCTGGCTGAGGAGGAGAGAGCATAAAGATAAGAGACTGGCTATTCTGGGGCTGATTGTGAGACGGCGAGCAGTGTTAAAAAACAAACTATAAGTCAGGAACTAAACATGATAGGCTACAAATAGAATGGTATAAAAGCTAGAGCAATAGGCTAAAAATGACTGTTGTTAGAATGGTATAAAAAGTTAGAGCAGTAGTCAGTAAGGTGATTCACTGCTTGAAGATGCTCTGGGTCCATGCTGTTAATCTCCACAGGCAGGGGGAGAGAATAACGCATCAGAAGAGGATTAATTACTTGGCTGAAAAACTCAAGAGAGAGTCTGATGAAAGATGTGGGATGAGTGAAGTCGCGGTGAAGTTGGTGACAGCGGGGAAGTTCAACTGTGACGGCAGACCTTGTGCCTCCTGTGTTTCATACCATAAGAAAACATAGGCTGATCCTCTGTATGTCATAAGCTTTTGAATTGGTTTCAGTTGTGAAATCCTCCTGTCTAATCTATGGAAAAAACACCACCTTTTTTCTCCAGGTATGGCAGCTGAGCAGTTGTAGCTTGACAGTGGCAAAGGCGGGGGGGCTTTGCTACCTTAGGAGTCTTGTCCTTGCAGCTGGTGCTGCTTTGAGCTCTGACCAATCTGACGCTTCAGAGAGACGCCAGCATGTCCCTGACTTTACAGAGAATTTGTCAAAGCCCTAATATGTGAAGTACCAATATCTTAATGCAGATCTTCACATTTAAAACCCTAAGGAGTTGTTCAGCTTCACCCGCAGCCAGGGAAGGGAGGGGTTGTAGAGCAGTTTCAAGGCTGGAAGGTGTATCATTATCACTAAGCTTGACCTGAGCTGAGCTGAGCTTTGGCCAAGGGATTCATCCATGGAGCTGCAATGAAGCATTTCATGGTCCGTTATCCTCACAGCAGGAAACAATGTCTTATTCTGAAGCAGAATATCGAATTCAAATTTTCATCCGTTTGATCTTACGGCTTTGTCAGCAAAGTCTGATCTCTCACCACCTTTATCACTTTCTTTTAGGGTCTAAACCAAATGATATATTTGTTTCTGTTAACAGAATAGTTTGAGTTCTTGAAGTTTCATAGTATAAGGCTTCTTTTCTGGGTTGCAAGTCATTGCATGACCTGCCTTTGAATCCTGATCTGTTTTCCTGTGGGTTTTTTTCAAGCATGAACTCGAGAACTGTGCGCAAGTTCCAGGAGACCTCTGGGATTTGTGCAGGTTGCAGGGGCAGCATCACTTTTCTGAAACTTAGCTGCTTTTTGGCTGAGCGGATTTGGCAGCTTGTTGCTGGAGCAGAAACAGAAAATGTCATTGGACCAAGAGCCATTTCCCTGAAGGCCTTAGCTGGATACCTCTTCTTATGGATGTTTCCTCACTGACAATTACATTTTTAGATGAGACACTGAATTTATGTTTAATCCACTAGTAAAACTGGCAAGGCAATTACCATCTTGCAAGTTCTTCAAATCAAATTGTTAGAGAACATTAAATCAAATGCTTTGGAGAAATCCCAGTGTATACAATTGCTTTTATCGTCCAGACTGATTCTGTCGCAAGAAAAGCTTTGTTTTACTGTGCTACATCTTCAAGTGAGAGTGTGCTGTCTGGTACTCATTGTGGTCTTAGCCTGTACTTCTTTGTCTCTGCTCCATTATTTTCTTTCTCCTATTTGTTACCTCATAATGAGAATTGAGAATTAAGGAATTTCTAGCTTACAGTTGTCATCCCTACTTTTTACAATTGCTAAGTACAGAAAGCATTTGCAAAGTGGAATGAGACTGTTAGTCATGAGGCAATTAATCTGTTATGACAGTGTGGTGGCTTAAAGCACAGCCGTGATGGAAGTCGCTCTGATGGGTCTCCCTTTTTGCCCTGTGTGTTTTGCTTTGAAGTCAAACCACCCACTCCTGGGTTAAGACGGAAGCGTGCAGAGCCCTTGTGTACCAGTCATCAATGGAGGGGTTGGTGGACTGTGAATCTGCAAAGAAAAGAGTACAGGCAGCTTTTTGGTCACTGAGGCTATTACCTGGCAGAAAGCACATGTTAGCTTAATTCATTTTTCACTGCCATGCACTTAGGCTTACATTCACAGTGGGCTTTTTTCTCTTTGGTACATCCTAGTTCAGTTATGACATATTGTGGTGTTTCCTGGCAGGAGGATGTTTTTTCACAGAAATCTACCATACAATTTTTTCCCCCCTTTTGCTTCTCTCTACAGGTGAAAGCAAGAGAGGAAGAGCTACAGAAGGAGGGGTTCTCTGCCACTGCTAGAAAGATACAGGAGAGTGTTGAACTAAAACTGTTAGATCTTACATACCTTTGTGCTTCCCCCCAAAAAAGAATGCACGGTTCATGCAGACTAGTGTTCAGAAGCAAACATCCTGCCAGCAAAATGGTCTTTGGTAGGTCTGTATCCAAGGAGTCTGTTTCAGCTGTCAGTGCTACAGAGGTGATCAGAGAACTCCAGATGAGAGAGGCCAGCCTGGAGAGAGAGCTGAAGCAACTGCAGGAAGAGTGCAGACAGAGGCTGGATGAAGTTGCAGAAGGGTTGGATGGAGTGATTTGTATCTCCCCTTGAAGAGGTAAAGCTGGACTGAGAAGAGCAAAGGAATAGACTTGACTTGATCAGAACATACTCTGCAGCTTGGCATGGGGGAGTGCGAGGTGAGGAACCAAATGTAATTTCTGATTTTTAAGCATGGCAGTCATAACTTGTTACTGCTTTGTGATTTGCACTGAGGCCATGACCTTGGTAGTTCTCTTTGCAGCCCCTTTATTGCTAACCTTGCCAATTAAATTCTGCAGCAGGCCTTGGTGGGAGTGTGCATAAATCGCCCTTTTGTCTTTCAGATTTCTAGTTCTTCTGCCAAGCACTGGCCTCTCTTACAGTGCTCAGCTGCTAGGCACAGCATACGTTGAGGCTGCACATTGAATTACTAATTGCATTCAGTATTTTCCAGCAAATGGAAGAGTTAATTAGTCAGAAAAATCCTGTTATTGGAGAACATGCAAAGTACCAAAGCTTAGAGAGATTGGAAATGTTCAGGAAAGCATGCTGGTTTAATTCAGCTGGTTTGCATATTTGTGGCAGCTATAATGTAGTTGTCATAAGGAAAAACAAATACCTAATAATAAATAAAGCTGCACACTGGTTTCATTTATTGGTGTGATGCACTTGAAGTAATTGGGTTCTCAAAGAGAACAAACTAGCAACCTGTTCCACCAAGTTATGAGTCACAATGAGGTAACTATGGATCTGCTATAGGAAGTTTCTGTAAAATAGAAATATGACCTTAACTTCTAAGCTTGAGGAGTCTCCAAGTTCTGTCTCTGGAGGCTTCTTCCTCTGGAACATGCAAATGTTTCTCACTTGGCATTCATTTCCTACCCTTTTCTGTTTTGCTTTCACCAAAGAATATTTTTATATTCTGGTCGTACACTTTCAGAATAAATAAATTTTGAGAAAACAGCTTGCTTTTTTCATTTGTGAATTGCTGTGAGCAATGGGCTTTCCTCCCTCTGGATTTCTGTCTACTACCCCAGCTCAGTGGTGTCGCTGATTTACCAGCTGCTCTTGGCTCACTCAACAGCCAAATATCAGGAATCTTTAAGGATCTTCTTCCTGGCATCAGTACGATTGCTGTTCTTCGGGGAGACCATGTGCAGGTGGGAATGGGTGGACAAGGCTCAGGTCTCCTGGTTTCTACTCCACCAAGTAAACTTCAGAATCTTCCAGACACTGCCCATTTGCACCACTCGCATGGTTCTTTTTGCAGGAGTGGGTGGCAAAGCAAATGTCAGTGGAGAGCCACACAGGGGGAGGGCTGGTTTTCCCTGGCTTGACCCCGTTGAATTCACCATTGCTGGTATGCCAGGAGTGTTGAAGCTCAGTTGAATGTGGGCCAAGTTTCAGACAGCCTTTCTTCTGTTTGGACCTGGTGGCTTGTCTAAGGACCAAGCTTGAGCAAAGCTGGTGAGAAGTGTAATGCTTAGCTGAAGGCCTCAACTCCAGTGAGCCCTACACAGATGGGACAGCCCCTGGGAGTGGGGTGTGCATTGACTGAGCCTGTTGCCTACAATCAGTGTGTCTGCTGTCAGCTGGCACGAGGGGTGACAAGCATGGTGCTGGGACCCCAGGGGACCAGTGAGATCCATCTCTGGGGCAGGTGGCCCCAGGCTGCTGCTTCTGGAAGAGCAGCCCTTACCTTTAAAAGCCAACCCACATTGCTCTGCATTTCACAACACCGCTGTAGGTGCAGGGTACCAAACACTGAACTGTTTCAAGCTGGTACGACTTTGGGAGGGTGTTGGCTTCAGGGTTATTGACATTCAGTGCACAAGAGGACTTACTCAGACACAGGTTTCACAGAAAATTATTCATGAATGGGAAGGAACCAATATATCCTAGAACTAACAGAGAGTGCCAGCACCACTCTCTCTTTGAGCATTTTATATCCTCCTTCAGTTTTTATACAGGGGAATTTTCATACTGCATCACATTTAGGTTTAAAACATTGCCCGCAAAAGATCCTTAGTTCTCCTGGGGTTTTCAGCAAAGAAGAGTGGGCAAATATTCTTGAGCATAGCAAAAGCACTCAGATTCAAGTGCAGGTCTAGCTCATGCCTTGCTCTGGCTTATTGGGTTGGCTTAATGCTGAATGCCACAATGTATTATGTTGCCATCCACTTAAACTGATAGTAGTCACTCATGGGGTGACTTCCTTCCTCGCATCAAGTATTTGTTAGTGCACAGCACTTAGTGCAGTGTGCTTCAGCATTCATCCCAGGATCCTGTTTCAGCAGAGACCACAAATGGCAGTGCCTTTCCCCTGCTTGACCGTGAAGAATTATGTCTGGTGGAATGTGAAAAATGACAGTGCTCAGTATGTCTGTATATATCTCTGTGTGTGATGTATAAACGTGCCTACAGTGAATCGCAGCTAGCCGCATTTACTGCATGGCACAAACCCCTGTATGGAGGTGGCCATATGGGAAGCTGTTGGAAGAACCAGCTGGAGCTGCTTGTCCTGGCATGTACCTCCATGGCATGTACCTCCAGAGGGGCAACAGCTGAAAGCAGCTTAAAAGAAGATCACCTTTCCACTCGTGGTGCTGTGCCGGCATTATGCGCTTAAGACACTTCATGCAGAGACCACAGGCAAGTAGAGTTTCAATGTTTTGGCACTGTTTTCCCACTGTCATTTCAGGTACCAGTTAGATTAAACCAGAGCAGATACCCTGTGGTCCCTGTTGAAGGTCAACATGGTCTTTCGAGCTGGCAGTGCTTTTAAAACCAATACCTGCAATCCCCTTGTTCCTTTACCCCTCTTCTTAGCACCAGCATGGGAACACAAAATGGGAAATACTTTAAGGGCTTGGTGCTCTAATGCACCAAATTTTGGAGGGTGGCTCTTCTTTGAAGGCTGGCTTTTAAAAATCCAGCATCTCCACAGGAGTTGGACACAAAGGGACTGAGCTGTGGTCATGCTTCAGCGACTGGTCACAACTTTACAGGAATACTGATGCATCTGAAATGCAGATGCTTTCCAGTCCTCATGAGCTTGGCAAGGCATCAGCTGCCTCTGCAGTACTGCTGGGAGATGCTGTATGATAAACAGCATTTAAAATCCAAAAAATACCCTACCTGGATTAACATCAGCTGCAGTGAGGGCAGGAAAGTGTACTGGATGACTGCAGTCACACTTAATGGGATATAACCTAGGAACAAATAGATGTCTGTCACCTCATACCATCACCATGGCATTCAAAGTGATTTCCTGTCCTTTTTTAGGCTGGCTTCTTTCACGCACCATCATAGCACACAGGTTTTAAAGGCTGCAATGACCTTCTTGGTCACTGGGGCTTGGGCGCCTGTCAGCACTCAAAAATGCTGCAGAAGGGTGAATGGCTGCCCTGGGAGATGCATGGCAACCAACAACCAGATGACGTGCTGGTCTCTGGCAGATGCTGTGACAGGTGGAAGATGACTCAAGCAGTACATTTCATCCATGGCTCAAGCAAGCTCTGTAAATGTGAAGTATTACTTCACAGAAATTGGAGAGTGTTGTAAACAACCCACTACAGACTGAAAAGCAAAGATACAAGCTGTTAAGTGGTTTGTCCTTTGCCATATCAGTGTGCTGGTTGTATGTTTCCATCTGAAAGCAGGAATCTGCCCTGAAGTTGTTGATGGAGTTGAAGAGAGGAGAGTGGCTATTGGCTGGAGAAGCTGGTAGAGAGTGAGTCCACGTTGTGTGCAACTGGTTGCTAAACTCAAGTGGCGGGGGAAGGTTGGTGTAGACTAGGCAGCAGGCTTTGTTTTGTTTTGAGGGTTTTTTTTGAAGAGGGTACAGCAGTTCTCTCTCTTGGTGTATCCTAGAGGGAATTAGTTTAGACTGGGTTTGGATCCAGTGTTTCTAAGTGATGTCAGGAAGAGAGTAGCATATTAGAGGTGATTGATAGCCATGCTGGAAAAGCAGGTAACCAGGGTTAAACCAGGACTCACCAGAGATACTGCACATAGTCATGGAATACATCTGACAAGGTCAGGCAAGAAAGAGCTGTGCCACATGTTCACCTGGTGATAGCTCACAGGAAGGTCTGTCCCTGGGAAGCCCTCATAACCACTAACCCACCTGGCGGGGCTGGGAGCTCATAGCCATTTCTTCATCCTGTCATAATATTTTGCTGAGGACAGGCTCAGTTACTGCTGCAATGTTTAAACCACACTCTGGTGATGGCTTCCTTCCCAAGCACAGCCTTAAGAGGAGCTAATACAGGACTTCTGCATGTGTAGTTGCTGGTAGGCCAGCATGGAGGTGTTTATAGAAGAGCACAGTTTAACCCATATCTCTGATGTAACTGGTTCCTGCTTTCCAAATATCTTGCTAGGAAAATGCAATTGGCCATAAATACTTAATTGGCTGATAACTCTGGATCACAGCATGTAGCTAGAAATATTCCTCCCCAAAAAACTGAGCATCAATCAGCTTGCAGTCAAAACAGGAGGTTTACTTTGCAAGAGGCAACCGAGGCATCTGTAGTCACTGCTCCTGACAACATTGCGCCTGCTGGTAAATAAGGGCTGCAACCTATGTTTAAAAATAAGAGCTTCTGGGAGTAGTGATTTCCAGCCTAGAGTGTTTTGGGTTCCCTGTGGGATTCCTCCACCAGCTCCTGCAGGAGGATGAGCTGGTAGCAGTTGGTGTGAGCGTGTGTGTGCGGCAGCACGGTGCACGCCTAGTGGGAGTTAACACATGCCTGACGGCTCAGCTCCCCCTCCTCTGACCCTCAGCTACTTGCAGTGGGTGTCTTGGGTCTGCCACCCTCACCCTTCGCCTCCAGGAGCCAACAGCTCCTGTGTGAAGCAGTCTGCCAGTACTGCAGCTCCTTGGCTGACAGCCCGAGCCCTTGCGGCCAGTGTCCTGTAGCCTTGAAGCTGGAAACCTGCTTATCCTCCCAGCCCCTCTGTACCTGCCCTGTGTACCAGCTGCCAGGCCATGGCCAGATCCCTATCCCTAAGGAGTTTTGTTCCCTAGATGCTTTGAAATGGTTGACAAGGAAGACAGAGGTGTGCAG